ACGATGTTTGCGAGAAGTAATTGTTCAGGAAACTGAGTGGGCCAAAGACATGTGTTATGAACGGTTGGACGACATGTCAGATCATATATTCACGCTAAACCACTACTACATGGACACAATTAATGCGGTTAAGCGTAAGTGGGAGGAGGAAACAACACCCAATAAACGATTGGCTAATCAATCGTTGGTGGCTGTAACTACACCAAGTAGAATTAGGGTTGATGATCTCACTTTCATTCCGTTTACCGATGTATCGAATGAGAAACAAGCGGCACTCGACATTCAAATAGCACTGTATTCTTATTGTAAAGCTGTTCAAAAACGTGTCGTCGATCGCGTAGCTCAATTGTGTTATCATTGGTTTATTATTAAATGTGTATTACTTGTGCATATAAAATTGAGTAACAAATTTACATCCGCCGAATTATTTTCTCTTATGGTTGAATCGGAGGGACTGACACGAAAACGAAATGAATTGAGAGCAAATATTAAAGCCTATAAAGAAGCATTAGCCAGAGTACAGCAAATTGTTTAAATAGAAAATAGGTCGTGTTGATCTTTTATATTCTATTTAGTTACTTAATTTGTTTTGTTGAATCTTCTGTGATATTCCTCTTGTTATCAATAGCAGTAATATTTGTTACACAACTTCTGCATGAAAAGTATGTCGAAAAAGCCAACTTCAAGCTGCAGACTTACTTTCTTTCTTAATGTTTTAGTTTCAGTGCAGACTTTGTTTCCTTTTTAATCCTTTTGTTTCCTTGACTGAAAGTCTTGGGTCATACAAACGAAATGTCCGTCCGTCCGCAGTAGGCGAGCGACATCGTCGTGCGCGTCCTCTCGAGCGTTAGCGACAAAAAAAAATTTCCCACTTTTGCGTCTAAAAAGTCGAGAAGTCCGGCTATTGGTTGACTGACTATGGCAATATTTTTAATACTTCGAGACACACGCTACGATATTTGAAAATACGACCTTCCACTAACGAGAAAACATATGGACATGCACCTCTCCGTTTCAAATGATTTATGTCTCAATCGATGAGGTATATCGAGGTAGTAAGAAGCCTAAAAGGATTCGGACGACGAATCTTTGTTCAGATGTGGTCATTTTTCTGTTTTTCCCAGCGAAAACAGGCAAAAATGGAAAAATTCGTATTGCTGTTAAGCGGAGGAGTATATATCTGAAATTTATATGCGTGATTTTTCACCTAGTGACTGTTGAATAGGTCTACTATATATAGTGAAAGTTTCAACGTTTTAGGTCGTTTCATGCGTGAGTTATTGAATCGCTAAGTTTTCTATACTTTCGCTCTGGAAGACTGTACAATAAAATGACCGTAAAATCATTAATTTTCGTCCAAAACAACTCAAATTTCCAGTGCTGAGCTGGATACAGCAATGGAAGTTTATGAATTTTCATGTTTTCTCAACCTGATTTTTGAGGAGATATCTGGAAACCCTAGAATTTCTGGACATGCTAAAAGTGGTGAATTGACTAAAACAGCATATTTGCCACGCACAACTATGTTTGCGAGAA